GTTGGTGGATACAAGGGTGGTTGGATCTAAATTTTCTTGGTCAAATGGCTAAGATCCACCCATTTAAGAAGGCTGGACAGATTTTTGTTTAATGATGAGTGGATACTTTGTTTGCTGATTTGATTTAGGAAACTTTGGCTTACCCTTTCTTGGATCATAAACCCATCTTATTGAGAAGTTATTTTAAAGTGGTTGGCCTGATACCATTTAGATTCAAGAACATGTGCTTGGGTCACCCCCAATTCGTACAATCTGTGGAAGAGCTATTAAATTCAAGGGCAGGTTTCATGATGATGAAAAAGTTATACATGCTTAAAGAAGACTTGGAAGCATGGAGCAAACCAGTTTTTGGAAACATAGAAGTGAGAAGAAAGAAGGTTTTGGAGAAAATGGCCAGGTTGGATGGAATGAGGGAAGAGGATAATCTAACAAAGGAGGGAAGAAATGAGTGAATTGTTAAGGATGGAACTGGAGAGATTGATTCATTTTGAGGAGGTGTCTTGGAGAAAAATCAAGAATCTTGTGGTTGAAAGAAGGTGACAAGAATACTTCGTTCTTTCAAGCAATGGTAAGGGGAAGAAGGAAAAGAAATTGCATTATCAGATTGGATGTGGGAGATGGAGTGGTGGATGAGCAACGAGGAAATTGTAGAAGAGGTCCAAAGCTTTCATAAAAATTTATACAAAGGCTCTTACAGATGGATGTATATGTTAGGGGAAATGGAGTTCAATAAGATTGAAGATTTTATATGACAGTTGGTTAGGCAAAGAATTTGGAGAAGTGTGGGGGGTGGTTAAAGCTTTAAAGGGAGATAATGCTCCGGGTCTGGATGGTTTTAATATGAATTTCTTCAAATCTTGCTGAAGTTTCTTAAAGGAAGATATGATGAGTATGTTTAAGGAGCTATGGGAAGATAAAATGATTGAGTAGAGCGCCAGTGCAACTTTCATTTCACTTTATTCCCAAGAAAGAAGCTGCTTGTAGGATGAAGGATTTTAGGCCAATTGGCTTCATCACTAGTCCATACAAAATTATTGTGAAGGTTTTGTCTAGAAGATTAAGATCAGTGTTGCATGAGGTGGTGGTCCCTACCCAAATGGCGTTCATTGAGGGTAGAGAAATTTTGGATGGGGTTTTGGTTGCAATGAAGGTATTGACTCAAGACTTAGAAGTGGTGTTTAGGGTTTAATTTGTAAAATTGGCATGGAGAAGGCTTATGGTCATGTAGAATGGGGTTTCTTGGAGGAGGTTGTGAATAAACCCTAGTTGTTTCTAGGTCAAAGTAGAGAAGAAAAGAGAAGAAAGAAAAGAGAAAGAAGAAGGAGAAGGAGAGGAAAAGAGTGTTCGGCTAGACTAGAAGAGAGGATGTTCAAAAGTCACTCTCCTAGCCGACCCACTTGACTTTTATTCATGAAAAACTTGAGTTACAAGAAAGACAATTTTGTCCCTCATAGAAGATGGGACACATAACTTAAACTCAGATACAATAGACATTTCACTTTCAATAAGATACACCAGAATGACCAAAATACCCCTGACTCGAGCATTCTAACAGAGGTGATTTACAAGATGGGTTTTTGTGAGAAATGGAGAGGCTGGATTTTTGCTCGTGTTTGTGCAGTTTCCTTTTCAGTACTAGTTCACCAACAAAGTTTTTTCAGGCCTTTTGTGGATTGAGATAGGGAGATCTCATGCCTCCTATGTTATTTGTGATGGTGACTGAAGCTTTAAGTAAATTACTCTTCTCAAGAGCTCCCTTTCCAACTTACCGTCCTATTTTCTTTCTTTATTACCAATCCCAACAAAAGTGGCTCAAAGGTTAGAAAAGCTCCGGAGGGATTTCTGTGGAAAGGTTGGGAGGAGAAGAAGAAAATTCACTTAGTAAACTGGGATCAGGTGTGCACTCCAAAAGAAAAAAGAGGATTGGGGGTGTGGAAGCTGAAAACTTTTAACAGGTCCCTGTTGGGGAAATGGATATGGAGATTTGTTATGGAAAGAGACAGCTGGTGGAGGAAAGTTTTAGCAGCTAAATATGAAACTGACAGTGGGGACTGGCTAACCATTTCTAACCTCCCGTCTCTGGGATGTTCTCTGTGGATGTTCTCTGGGGTCTGGTTATCACCTGAAATTCTGGAAAGATAAATGGTGTAATATCAGCTCTTTAGAGGATCTGTTCCCACAGCTGATCCAGATTGCAGAGAGACAAGAGGCATTGATTGCTGACTGCTATGAGCTGAGAGAAAATGTGGTTTCCTGGAATCCTGTTTTCAGAAGGGCTTTTCAAGATTTGGAAGTGGATCAAGTGATGGATCTGTTTGTTTTGCTTTCAAATCAGACATTAAAAGTGCAGGAAGAAGACTCCTGGGTTTGGGAGTGGTCGGCGGATGGTTTATTCTCAGTGAAGTCCTTTGCCAAAAAGTTGTCATGGGGGGAATAATGAGAATTTCCCGGCTGATAAAATTTGGAGCCAGATTCCCCCTCATAAAATAAATGCACTACTTTGGGCTGTGGCCTTGGACAGAAACCTCACTAAGCTGAATCTGGTTAGAAGGGGAATGCAAATTCAAAATTCAGGTTGTGTGCTTTGTGGTCAAAATGAAGAGGACAACAGCCATCTTTTTATCCATTGTCCTGTCTCAACAGCCTTGTGGGATCATTTTCTTTCTTCTGTGGGACTTCCTGGGTCATGCCAAGTAAAGTGATGGATCTCTTAAGAAGCTGGGAGCTTCAAGGCCTCTCCAAGTTGGCAAAAAGTGTGTGGTTGGATATTCCTGCAGCAGTGATCAGCACCATCTGGGCAGAGAGAAACAGAAGAGTTTTTCAAAACAAATCTAAGGATGTAGAGAGTCTTTTATCTTCTAGTGTGGGGAAATTAATGTCTTGGACTTCAGCTGTGAAAGGGTTCTAAACCAGGGCTCTTGGTGCACATCTGAGGTCTAGAAGTTTGTTTGAGCTGTAATCTAGTTTTGGGATTGGCTCTCTGTATTCTAGCTCCGGTTTTGGAGCTCCTCTGTAATTTCTGTTGTTTTAATAAAATTACCTTACTTTTCTTCAAAAAAAAAAAATGAAGGTATGATGGGAGGTTTTAAGGTTGGAAGAGAAGGTTTAGTTTCCCATTTACAATATGCAGATGATACATTAGCCTTCCTGGATGGCTTGGCTGAGTAGTCTCTGAATCTGAGAGCCATTCTTAAATGTTTGAAGTGTTGGTAGGTCAAAAGATAAATTTGAACAAGTGTGTGAGGATTGGTGTTGGGGATATATCTCAATATCTTTTGATAGAATGTGCAGGATCAATGGGATGCCTGGTAGGTGAGTTCCCTTTCACCTATTTGGGACTACCAATTGGTGTGAAGGCTTTAGTGGTTTCAACACGGCAGCCAGTTTTGGATAGAATTGATCAAAGGTTGGATGGTTGGGAAGGAAAATATATTTCTTTTGCAGTTAAGATCACTCTTATAAAAAGTGTTCTCACAAATCAACCTACATATTGTCTTTCTTTGCTCAAAGTTCTAGCTGTGGTGGTTGAATCAATAGAAAAGATGCAAAGGGATTTCTTGTGGAGTTTGAAGATGATGATAAAGAAATACCATTTGGTTAAATGGGAGGTGCTATGTGGGGCAAAGAAAGATGGGGGTTGGGAATTCAAACGGTGAAGGTGTTTAATAAGGCACCATTGGTTAAATGGTTATGGAGGTGTGGAGCAGAAAGAGAGTATTTGTGGTGAAGAGTTGTGGCTTGTAAGTATGGGGTGGCTAGCTTTGGGTGGGACTCAAAGGAGGTAAGGTCATCATATGGGGCTTGTGTTTGGATGGGATTGAGTTTCATTCAGAATTTTTAAATTGTGTGATTTTGTGGGTTGGTGATGGTGAAAGAATAAAATTTTGGGAGGATGATTGGTTAGGGATTGGAAGGCTTTGTGATATTTGCCCAAGGTTGTACAGGTTGAGTGAGAAGAATACTATGATCTCTCAAAACTTTGAAGCTAATCAAGGAAATATTGTGTGCTGCCCTACCTTTAGAAGACCTTTGCTGTAGAGGGAGGTGGAGGAGTGTGTTTAAGACTGCTGTCTTTGTTGCAAGGTGCTAATTTGCAGTTGGATAGAGCTGATGCAAGGTGGTGCAAAAAGTGCAGGAATGGTATCTTTATTATTAAATCTTTCTATAAAGTCTTCACTAAGGAGCCAGGTGGAAAGATCCCAAATTGAAGGAGAGTGGGGAAACCCGGTTCCCCCCACAGTAGAGGCCTTTGTATGGCTGGTTGCACTTGACAACATCCTTACACAAGATCACTTAAAGAGTAAAGGTGTTCAAAAGGCGAGCAGTTTCTACTTCTGCAGAAGCTTTGAGAAAGATGTGCTTCACCTTTTTGTTGGTCTCCAATCTCCACTGCAGAAAATTTTTCTTCTTGGACAGTTTTGAATGGAAACAAGAAAGCAAAATTGGTTTGGTCATGCATGTCATTTGCAGTCTGATTGGAACTTTGGAAGGAAAGGATGAGAAAGATATTTGAAGATAAGGAAGCAAAGAAGTGCTTTGTTCAATTATTAGGAGGAGAATCTTAGATTGGATACTGATACTAGAATTTTTGGGCTTTGTAAGAAGCTTCATTTGGGGTTGAATTTTGATCCTCTTTGTAATTATACTTGGGGGTTTGATGTATTGTTTTTCTTTTTCTATGTACTCTTTGCTTTTTGGGTGATCTATCTTCACATCTTAGATTGTATTCCTTTTTTTTTTAATGATTTTGTTATTTACTTACAAAAAATGGTGTAATCTTTTTGATCAGTAACGATGTAACTTGTTTTGGCTATGCAAATATCACAGCTTCTAGTCCCAACTTTTGATTGTATTCTCTTTCCCATTCATCAAAGTAATGAGAATATTGTTATTCTTTATCATTGGACTCCGTTATTCTTTATCATTGAACTCCTACAGAGCATCTTGATATTTGATTATGACAGCAGGACCTAGATTGACTTACTAAACTTGCTCATTAGGGCAGTTCATATGCGGTAATAAACAATGCAATGAAAAAGATGGCTTGGCAAGCTATGAGGCAAGTTGTTGAATATCTGTTTACTATAACTGGATTACTTCTGCTTCTTGTCAATATATTCAGGAACTGTTGACTTATCTGTTTATATAGACAAATTCTTTTTTTTTTTTTTTTTTTTTGAGGAAACTATGATAGACAAGTTCAAGTGCATAAATATAAACATGGGTATACTATATTAGATCTTTGCTCATGGGCAGAGGTCAACAAATACTGTTCACTAAGGTTAAAACTGTTTTTACTGCATCTGGCATTTATTGTTGATGTTATTTCCTTATTAGGATATACAGGACCCTCTGGGGGGATAGTTCCAATGTTCCCTTGTCACTAAATTGTCGATAATGTGTCTAGTGATACTGAATATTAGCATCATCTTCATCAAGCGGTGAATTGCATTGATGGATAATGTAGCTACCTACTTGTCATATCTAAGCAGTAGAGTTGTCTAGTATTTGCCTGCCTTCAACATAATATGGACAACTGATTAACTGATTAAGGCTAAATTTGGGAGTGCTTAAAAATAAGTGCTTATTTAAATAAACACTTATTTTGGGCCGGGACCACACCAATATGCACTTATTTGTGTTTGGGAAGTAAGCCCTAATATGAGAAGCCCAAATTTTGGGCTTATTTTTAAGTGCTTGTTTCCTTTCTGGTCTGTCTTGGCCTGCCATGTCATTTTGAAAATACCTATACTACCCCTGTTTGAAATAAGTGCTTTTTCTCCAAACACTCATTTGCACTTATTAGAATAGGCACTTATCCAATAAGCACTTATTTTTCAAATAATCTCTCCCAAACTCCATCCAAGTAGTATTGATTTTGCCTTGTCTACACCTTTGATGCAGCACCACCTTCAAAGAGGATGCTCATGCCTACAAGATGGTGCTAGGTCTTTAATAGACAGCTTACACCCTTACCAAGAAGCCCTAGTTAATCAAAATGCCTCAGTTTTTAAGGGCTAAGCGAACACAAAAGATAATGAACATTACCAATGATAGATTCCTCAATTGAAAACCCAACTAGAAGGATCTGAATGTGCATAAATATTTGCATGTTGAGCATCCTTGACTTTTAAATGACAATGTATGTAGAAAAAACAAAATAAAGAAATCCCAATTCTTTCTATCCTGGACATAATTGAGAAAAAAGGGAACATTGTGAGTTTCAAAACCAAAAACATATTTAGCAAAATCTAATATCCATAATTAGTTCAGCTTTTTATTGCACTGCCATTTTGGTAACGACAACCTTCATCTTCTCAATTATCTGCTTCCATTCCTTCTTTGCACCTGCCTTTTCATCACAGAAGGTGTCTTCTCCACCAAGTCCTTTGATTCCTTCAGAAATCAGTAAAGCTATTGACCTCCTTGATAATCTTGATCTCTTCCTCACATGATTCAAATCCACATGGTGTGGAGAAAATTTAAAAGATTAATTATCAATAGTAAAACTAATGAATCAATGTGGGAGATAGCATTGCTTTTTTATATGAATTTGAATAAGAAATTAACATTAGATTTGGTTCTTATATGAATGATTTGGTCTGGCCTCCTAATTTGTTAGGAAATTTGAATTGTATCTTTTCTATGTCCACTTTACTCGTTTTCATAGTTTTTTTTTTTTTTTAATTTGAATCAAAATATGTATTAAAGCATTCTTTGTGAGAGGAGGGCTAGTGACATGTCAAAACAAAAAAGCCTTTGAGGGAAAAACCATGCATATATATGTATGTTCATTAAAGACTAATGGAAATTAATATTATGTTCATTAGTTGTTGGTAGAAAATTAAACTTAATGACATCTCCCTCTTGTGCAAAGATATCTATCTTAATCTGCTTGTATTTTAATTTGAATGAGAGCTTTATCTTTGCATTTCATCTTTCCATTACTTTTGCAGGTTAACTTTTCCTACTTTGAAGCAGGTGAAAACAAGCAGGCCCTTGTGAAATTGGTAGCATGTGAGAGGTGAGTAGGTACCTGTCAAGGTTGTGATAATTTTGAAATTATTACTTGTTCATTTCATGGCATCTCTGAACTGCACTTTTGTGATTCGGTAAAATATAGTTAGAGATGTTATATAAATAGATGACAGCCTTAGACTGAACTGTTAATAATCTAATGGTCCTTGTGTGATAATTATGCCCAGTGGGTCACTGTTAAAAAAAAAAAAAGCCCAGTGAGTCCATGCCTACTGTCACTACCCCAAATGATACAAGAACAGCATGCTATCATATGAAAAAATAGGGACCAACTCTAGGGTCCAATACCTTATTATGACAATCAAGAAATGCCAAGGAAGCCTAACATGTGGAGTGGTGAGTTCACATGGTCACAACTCACAACACATTATTGTAACTCCCCAATAAACACAAATATGCTATCAATCAAATTAAATGCCAAATCACCCAGTGACTGCATGCTTGCTGTTACTACCCCAAATGTGCACGAACATGACCACAACACTTTTATTGACTATCAAGAAATACCTAGGTATCCTCCCTACATGTGAAGTGATGAGTTCACATGACCACAACACTTTCTTGCAACCATTGAATAAAACACAGGCATGCTATCAATCAAATGAAAAACCAAATGATCCAATGAGTGTATGCTTGCTGTTGCTACCCCAAGTGTTACAAGAAAAGCATGCTATCGTATGAAAAACTAGAGAGTACCTGTTGGGTCTACTATCTTACTATGAAAATCAAGAAATACCAAGGTAGCTTAACATGTGTAGCAATGAATTCAAATGGTCATACCACTTTCCTGTGACTCCCCAATAAAATATAAACATGCTATCGATCAAATGAAATACCAAATCATCTAGTGAGTTCATGCTTGCTGTTGCTATTCCAAATGGTACAAGAAAAACACGCTATCAAATGAAAAAAAAAATAAAGACTACCACTAGGGTCTACTACCTTACTCTAGATATGAATTCACATGGTCAAAATGCTTTCTTGCAATCATTCAATAAAACACCAACATGCTATCAATTATATAGAAAATTAAATCACCCAATGAGTCATGTTTGGGTGAGTTGGTTTTGAGTAGTTCACATGGTCATAACACTTTCTTGTGATCCTTCAATAAAACATATACACACTACAAATCAAATGGAAAACCAAATAATGTAGTGAGTGCGTGCCTACTGTTACTACCCTAAATTCGGGCTGCATATTTTGGATTAAGGTTGAGGCCTTGACCAACCCAAACCTGTTTTAACTTCAAATTTGCATGTATAAATGTTATATAAATATGTATTTATGCATGTGTGAAAAATATGTATTTATGGTTGTCAGTACTTATGTTTATGTGTATTTTCTATTCATGCATGTATACATCCATAAATGTGTATATCTATGTATTTATGTTTTTTTTTTCACTTCAAGTATTTATTTATTTATGTATATATTACATTTATCTATCTATACATGCATGGATATATATTCTATGCCAAAAACTTTAGGTTTGAAGGCAATTTTTTTTCCTAAAACATGATAACCATTTTGTTTTACACATAATAATGCTAGTATTGAGTAACATGAACCCTTAAGAATCTAGGAAATAAGCACATTTGACAAAAGGAAGAGAGAAGTTGGACCAACCTGAGCCCAGGCTGATCCTAATCCAAAGTTTTAGGGTTAGGGGTTCAACAACTTTGGTCAGGTTAGGGTTGACCTCAACCTGATCCAACCCAGCTTGACTTGCACCCCTACAAAAAATAAAGACTAGAGGCTACTACCTTTCTCTAATAATCAATGTTTTAAAACACAGAGACATGGCATGAGGGTCAAGAGGAAGAAGGAAGAAAAGGAAGGGGGATCTCATTTTTTCTTTACTTTTAATAAAAATCTTTTATATTAGGAAGAATAAAGATGCACAACACTAGTTGAAAGGGGGGTCTTAAAAACGGGGGTCGGGGGGGCGAAGCCCCCAACCGAAGGGGCCGAGGGCAGACCACTTTCTTTCCCCTTATCTTTTCTTCCCTTCCCTTTCCTTTTCTCTTTTTTTTTTCTCTTTCTTTCTTTTTCTTTTCCTTTCCTTTCTTTTCTTTTCCTTTCCTTTCCTTTTTTTTTCTTTTTTTTTTCACTCATTTTATATGAGGTGTGCATGAGGTGTATGCCTCTAGCATGCCTCATGAAAAAAATCACGAGGTGTACGCCTCTTGCACCTGAGGCATATGCCTCGAAGGTGTCAGCGCCTCTAGCATACGCCTTAGGGTGTTTTGGGAGCGCCTCACCTGGAGGTGCGCCTCAAGGCATATGCCTCCCACGCCTTTTAAAACACTACTAATAATCAATAAATACAATGTATCCTAACATGTGGAGCAATGAGTTCACATGGTCACAAGACTTTCTTGTGGCACTCCAATTAATCTAGGACATGCTAATCGAATGAAAAATCAAATCACCTAACCGATACTTGCCTACTGTTAGTATCCTAAATGATAAAACAACAAGAACCACCTGTCATATGGAAAAATAGAGGCTACCTCTAGGGTCTACTACCTTACTATCATTGTTTAAAATGTCCCTAAATTTCCTAATATTTTCATGACATGTTTCTATTTCCATGGATAGTGACATGAAATTTTACTGGAATCGACATTTTCCCTAGTGAACACTAAACACTACCAAGACTATGTAGAGTACAAGAGGCAATATTATAACATAAGTTGGTGGCAATATTGTAGATATGGAGAGCATAGTTTTCAAGGCGCCAAGGCGAGGCTAGGTGACAGGAGGGCACCTTGTTGCCTAGTCGCCTTGGCGATGGATTTTTTTTTATGTAAAAAACATAGATCCTAGGGTAGTTCCCTAGCCCTAGGTACCGTAACCATATTTCCTTAATAATTATTCATAAGAAAAGTATAAAGTTCGTATTAACTTATAGAAAATCAACATATTCATGAGAAGAAGAAGAAGAAGACAGCATTTAGCATTTAGCAATACAGGTGTTGAAGTCTTTGAGGGTTCAATTCAACATTTAGCAATGTTTGTGTTGATTAAACCCTAAAATGTAAGAAAATAATAAAAAGAAATTAGTATATAAACACACAAAGTGATTATTGTAGTTTAATAATGTCTATTTTATAATTATAATCTCAAAAAATAAAGAACAAAAAAGTATATTATAATACAAAGTAAAAAACTGCTTGGCGAATTAGGTAAGGTGAGCCTCAAAGGGTGCTTTGTCGCTTAGGCGTCGCCTTGACAACTATGATGTAGAGTAGTAATGTTATTTCCTAGCTAACTTTCATGATTTGAGCCAACTTGATATTCATTTCAAACTTGCAGTTAAACATTAGTTTTTGTTTGTGTAATAGATTATTTGGTTGATCTTTTAGAGCCATTTGCATTTTTTATGAATTTAAATTTTGTTTGAACTGATTCTATCATGTAGTTGTGAATCTTAATGATTTTGAACAAAATAATAATTTAAAAATGTGTGCCTATGGTTCTTTTATCATTTCATAAAATATCATTTTATATTTTTGCATATTTTACAATGTTTCCACCATGTATAATTTTTACAATATTTCCCACATTCCTGACATGTTTCCTATATTTGGATGACCGACATTCTAAACCTTGCTTACTATGACAATCAAGAAATACCAAGGCAGCCTACCATGTGGAGTGCTTAGTTTACATGATCACTGCATTTTGTTGTGACTCCTCAAGAAAACACAAACATGCAATCTATCAAATGGAAAACCAAACCACCTAGTGAGTACAGGCTTATGTTGCTAGCTACCCCAAATGATAAGAATAAGCCATTATCATATGAAAAAGTAAACTATCACAAGGGTCTACTATACTACCTTACTATGACAATAAATACCAAAGTAGCCTAATATGTGGAGAGATGAGTTCACATGGTCACTACACTCTCTTGCAGTCCTCCAATAAACATGGGCATGCCACTGATCAAATGAAAAAAGAAAAAATCACCCCGTGAGTGTATGTCTGGGTGATTTGGATTCGATGGGTTCATATGGTCACAATGTTGCAACCCTCCAACAAAATACAGACATGTTATCAATCAAGTGAGTGCATGCCTGATGTTACTGCCCCAAATGATACCAGAACCTGCTATCATATGAAAAAATAGACTACCTGTAGGTCTACTAGTTTACCATGACAATCAAGATATACTAATGTAGCCTAACATATGGAGGGATGCATTCACATACATCATATGGTAAACCAATTCACCCAGTGAGTGCATGCCTTGATGATTTGATTTTGATAAGTTAACATTGTCAAAATACTTTCTTGCTACCCCCGAATGATTCAAGAACAACTTGCTATCATATGAAAAAATTGAGACTATCTATAGGGTATACTTTTGTAGTATGACAATCAATAAACACCAACGTAGCCTAATATGTGGAGTGATGGGTTTACATGGCCACAACTCTTCCGGTGAGCTCATATGGTCTATCAAATGTAAAACCAAATCACCCAGTGAGTTCCTGCCTGGGTGATTTGATTTTGGTGAGTTCACATGGTCACGAACATTCTTGCAACCCTTCAATAATACTCATACATGTTATCAATCAAATGAAGACCAAATCACGCAGCGAGTGTATGCTTGTTGCTATCTCAACTGATACAAGAACAATCCAGTATCTTATGAAAAAATAGAGACAACCTCTAGGGTCTACTACATTATTTTGATAATTTATAACTTCCAAGGTAGCCTAACATGTGGAATGATGAATTCAAATGTTCACAACGCTTTGGCATCACTCCAACAAATCATATTGAAAACCAAATCACCCAGTGAATGCATGCCTGGGTGATTTTGTTTTGATATGTTCACTTGGTGACAACACTTTTATGACCCTCCAATAAAACATAGACATGCTTTCTATCACATGTAAAACTAAATCACGGACTGAGAGCATGTTAGCACCGAGACCTGTGGTGAGCCATGACCCATGTATGGGAATAGCCAGCCTGTGTATCAGGTTTACAAGAGAAGAAAGCCAAGTCAGCAAGCAGTTAGACCAAGCGGCAGTGTTGTTAAAAGAATGTAACAGCTCTGCAATGAATTGTAACTTGTAACGGTTTACCTGAGAAATAATTAGCAGGAGGATGAAGGCAACACCAAATTCATTTGAAATATCTATCCCTCTCTCTCTCTCTCATTTAACGATCAAATCTGGTCAATTGCTAAATCATTTAAGGCTGGAGTGTTTAATGGCTTGCTCCCATGTCCTACTTCCGGAAATTCTGAGAATGTGGAAGATTGTCTCTATTTGCGTCATGCCTCCCTGCTTTTCAGTTGGTTGGGATCTAGGCGTTATTAATGGAGGCAACCTTTGTTTATTTTATCTGACACCCCTAGGCCTACTTATCTTTCATTTCTAGATTGTACTAATTGGAGTCATCAAGTGCAGCAACCCCCTCCCCCCCCCCCAATTTTCTATTTCTTTTCTCTAACACCTACCTTGCATCATAAATGTAATGGTTGGAATCAATACAAGGGATGCTACAGAAGTCTTCAATTCCGCTATGAATGGCATGTTGTATTAAGTTGCTTGCTTGATGATCTTCAATTTTACTGTCTTTTATTAATTCCATAATATATGCTTTTGCTATGCACTAATGGCATACTTTTGGGTGAGAAAATCTGTAGATGTGCAGAGAAGCTTGTGTACAAAAAACGGAAAGAAGAGCAATTTGAAAGAAAAGAGAAAGAAAAACTCAATAGAAAGAGGTATTAACTGGAGTATTTTTTACTCCTACTGTTATCTTTTGTTATAGATGAAAGCAATGAAGGCTTGCAGGCTTTTATGTTCTATTGTAGGAGCTGACTTTTAGGGGTTTTTTTAGGGAAAGAACAAAAGTCGATGGTGATTCAGATGATGAGTATGAAACAAAAAATAATAGGAGAAAAGGTTCCATCTTACTACCATTTATACTTCTGCTTTTTATTTTGGTGTAAGCAATTCCTATTATTGATTAGCTATTTTTCTCGACCTTTTGCCTTGTTTCTATCTCCTGCTTATTTTATCCAAGTTCACTTCAAATGATATTAGCTTCTGTTATTTTTTCACTTTATTTTTCATATGTTAATTTTCTTTGTAAACTATTATATGGTTGCATTAAGCATCTTTAATGAAGAAAGTTTGCAAGGTACTAGGCCATGTTCATAATCTTCTTAATTCTTATGGGGGTGGATATCGGACTTTGTTGAAGTTGAAAATGGTTTTCTTTTGTTGCACCTGCGAAGGTGGAACATTCTAGAAGGCTTTAACACCCATTCATTTTCTTTGTTTTGATGACTTCCTGTTCATGGTGTTTTATGCCTTGAAGATGAGGCATAGGTAGGAGAAGTCACATAGACCATAGCCACTGATGAAATTTCTGAGAATGTCAGTGCCAGGTACATGTATAAGGCAGTTGTTGTCTAAATTTGTGCTTTCTATCTTTTTCCAGGTAACATTACAATTGTCATTGAAAAATGAGTATAATTTTAAAATCTCTGAAATGTGTAGAAAGTAGGTTATTGTTGAACGGTGGCGTAAAAGTAGCATGTTAAGATTATGAAATTGTTTTGTCAAGTATAACCAAGAATCTGATTTTGGAAGGGCAATTAGAGTGGTGTTAGCATTTTTTGTCCTATTTATTTAGATCGGTGGAGTTGGTGAATTATCCTTCTCATTTTTGCTACATCACTTTGTCTCATGGGAATTTTAATGTTCCCCTTTTCAGAGCCCTTGGAGTTGGGTTCCTGATCTGTGAAGCAATCCTCAATCTTTGATGGGTTGTAGGTGTTCCTTTCTTTGGAACGTAGTACCTTTTGCTATTTGGTGGATGGTTTTGGAAGGAAGGAAATGAAGGGATTTTTGAAGGTTTAGGAAGGTTCATGATGTTGATGAGGATGCATTACAGCCTTTTTATGGATGGAGTTCTGGCATTGCAGGTCTTTAGTGGTCTTAACCAAATCAACTTTGTATTTACATGGTACTCTATCTTGGATAGTACACTTTCAAGGCCCCTTTTGGTTTTGGGGCCCTCTTCATGCCTTGATTATTTATCTAAAGAATGTTACCTGGTGTGGTGAAGGAGCTGAAGAAGGTCTAAGTTATTCTAGAAGCCTGAAAAGTTGGTAATTTTACTTGGCAGAGCACTATGTATAATTGTATATGCAGGAAGCATATGTTCCGCTTTATGGAAGAGACCACAAAAACCTATTATATACTGATAAGGGGAAGAACAATCTATGTGAGTCTAATGCACAGTCCAGGCCTTTTGTTTGATTTCCATTTAGTTGTTTAATATTTAAGAAGACCAAGTGGAATACATTGTAAACTATCCAGGTTCGTTCTTTCTAATTCTTTGTGTTCTTCTACAGCACCAGTTAGAAGAAGTGATCTGTTACATGTGGAAGTGTCTAAAGAGCTAGGGGCAGACCAAAAAGAACTTGGGTAGTAGTAAGAATTTTTTTAAGCACCCAAAATTTAATGATGGATATGGCACTGAACAGAATGCAATGGTGAAACAGGGATTCATATAGCCAGCCCCATATATTTGGGACAAAGCTTAGATGATGATGATAATGAACAAGGTGACTCCAACCAACATTGTTATCTGGAACCTATTGGTTTTGGTAGTTCAACTCAAGCAGAAATATTGGCAGTTCTAGAAGGGGATTCACATGTAATTGTAGGTTGGTTGAGAAGGAACTATCCAGACCCTTGGAAATATAAACATTATCATGAGGGAGGTCAAACAGCTGGCTTTGGAACTGAACAAATTAGAGATGGTATCCAAGGTCAGCAAACAGTATGGCTAATAGGCTAGCAAAATAAGGGTTAAACAGAACTCGGTTAAAATAATAAATAGGAAAAGCCCCATTTTTTGATAGTTAAGCTGTAATTTTCAAGTCCCTTCAGTCTTTGTTGTTTTGATGGGCTTTATCTTTTTTCGGTTTCACTACAATTCTGAGTGTATGTGAAGAACATAGTTTGGAAATGGTATAAAAGGGGTGCAGCCAGGGCTATTTGATAACTGCTTGGGTTGCTGAACTGAATGCCTTATTGCTTTATCTTTTAGTGAATAAAATTATTAAAAAATAAAATATCAGCCATTAAAGAGCCCAGAATTCTCCTTAAAAAACATATTCACTAAAAGACAAAGCAATAAACTTTTCAGTTCAACCACTCCAGCTGTTATCAAATGGTTTAAAATGCTTATCATGTTCATAAATTTTTACACTCGGGTTACATCATATAGTAGTTTCATCCCTAATGATATCTTTCCATTCTTTTGAACCCTTTTTTTGATTGGTCATTCTCTTGAACCATTTGAATAGTGGTATGGATGGAAATCAACTAAGAAACTGAGTTTATTGTTCAGATCTTGGTATTAGCTTGTGGGGTGGTAAAAAATGATATATTGTTATCCTTGAGTATTTTGTGAATTATTACTGTATAGAAGTTGAATCTGCTGCTACAATGTTCATAATTTATTCTGACTCTCTTTTTAGTTATATGCTAATAATTGAAAAATGGCTTCTCAATGCATCGAAGTATTTTATGAGGTCACTTAACAATTTATTCTAATTAATCTTATGAGCATGCTTCCATCTCAATAGTCGTTTCTGACAAAGTTTGAAACTGTTTTCTCAAATTCACCATTCTTGCTTCGAATGAGGCCTGATTTGTAGGATGTAGAATACTTGCAGACCATGGTTACTGCTTTTGCAGCTCATCTCCCGTGTCTCTGCCTAACTTTGAGAGAAATACTTCTTTATTATATGGGCAGGAAAGAAAGCTTCAACTTCAACAGATAATCGAAAAATCAATGATGAAAACTTTGATGAGTTTATGGAAGGAATGTTTCCATGATCTTAAGCTGAACAAAAGCACTCTTCCAAAAGCCCTTATGTACCATAACATGATATAGAAATAGAGAAAGTTGGTGGGCATGATCTATAGACTTGCGGAATTTGGAGTAATATATTTCAAGAAAATTCATCTTAAAATCATGTTTGATTTGGTGATAGTGAAAAACTCCAATGCCAATCGAGTTTTTTAGATTTGCTTTTGTGTTTTCCTTTGAATAGATGAGAATAACAGAATTACTTTTTTTTTTTTTTTATTGCGCCACAATAGAACAACATTCTGAGATATCATGGGATGATGTATGCATGGGATAACATGGTTTAGTATGGATATCTGCATCATTTAGAGTGAATCATTGGAGATCTTAGTTCTCAAAGGATGTATGATCAGCTTCCACATCCTGGCCAGCCTTAAAGTTGTGTTACTGCCTTACTGGCATGAAACCGTATCTATCAGCCTCTTCCCAGATTTACTTCAAATTGGATTCTCAAAACATGGAAATTTGTGCATTATCACAACTCGCCCATATATCGGTTCCTTTCATTTGGAACAAGATTCTGTTCATTTTGTACGTATGGATACATAGTAAGCAACATCAGAAACTTTGTCCTAGGATGATGTCGCCTCTGAGGCAATCGTGTTCCGATTTGGCTGTTAGGCTGCATTTGGTTGTAGACTTGTAGTGCAAACCTAAACCAAATGCAAATTTTGCACCCAGTTCCGTTTTGCATCAATTTGTTTTTTATAATGACAATGATTTGCACTCCTACCTGATAAAATTTGTGTTTTATGATTTTATCTCATTAGCAGTATAAATTTTGCATTTTAAAAGTTGATACAAAATTTGCATCACCTTCCTCCTACCTCAATTCTCTCTCGTATTAAGTCGGGACTACATCATCTTGCTTCTTACCTCATTTCCAAAAAAATAACCTTCCTTTTACCTCCATTCTCTTAAAAAGAAGGTAAGACCACACCATTGTACTTCGTATTTTACTTTTCAGAGATAAACAAAAACAAGATCAACTCCGATGTTAAAGCAAACAGAATTTACAGTAAGCTTATTTGCATTTCCATTTATTTATACCAGTGCAAATGAAACAGTGCAATCGAATGCAGCCTTACAGATTAATTTCTCCACTGCTGTTCTGTGTAAGGGAGCTCAAGGATGAGTTTAAGACTTCAATGGCAGTACTATTATTATGGGCCTTGTCCCCACACTGTTCTAACAGTTTTTTGCAACCATGCAATAAGAATATCTTCCCATGAAATAAAGCACATAAGTATGGAGATATTCTCAATGCATGGCAGTAAAGGCTGCTCGAATGTCCTGACTGAAGCCGAACTTGGGATGTATCATAAATAATTTTATTTCCCGCCAAATAAAGGTTGTCAAGGGTGTTATGTCTTGCTTGTCCTGTGTGATTGAAGAGGCCTTTTGCAAACTTGTAATAGGCTTTTGTTACAAGGAGCCTAGAGGTATAAAAAATGAGTACGAATTATATGAACCCTCATCGTCTGCTTTATGACGAGATGATTCATTACTTGTCCATTACGCCCAAGATCTTACCTTCGTCAAGCGGTAATTATTGGCCCAATGACAACTTTGTGGAAGAGGATGGTCCTCCATATGTGGTGAAGTTAATTTTCTGGTTCAGTAAAGTAGTTTGAATCATTTCAGCTTTCAGCTTGAACTTTGCAACCTAATGTATATGAGGAAGGATGTAATGACCTGTGCTAAGAATTCATTTATTTCTAGTTAGGCCGGTTGACTAATATTGTGCTTTGTCTTCACATTCTAAAGCACTGTTGCATCATGTAAGGTGTTCCAATTCTGGTTGTGATATCAGGAAATGGTTTCAGTTCCATTTTTTATCTTTTCTCTGTAACCAGAACAAAATCCTCGATTTACGTGATGAATTCATATCTGCGCCTCAGAGGGTGCCCCACATGCACATCTCAGTGTGCATGGAACATCTTCCAAGTTGTCAGTGGGAGATGTTCCCAATACATGGTTGGGATATGCAGTAGAGCATATGTGGGGCACCCTCTGTGGGGCGCAGATGTGATCTCCTACATGATATCCCAAAGGATGGAAAACTAGGTTTTCTTAAGCATGCGCTTGGTACACATATGGCACAGCCAAGGTGGCATTTGGCAAGTCTTTCTGTGCAGTTTTTTGGGCTTTGGTAAGTTTAAAAGACAAAAAATTGGTCTTTTTCAGTTTGGTAACCAAAATCTGGTAAGACCAGAAGATTCATGCACGGAGAGACGTGAAAAAACTAAAAATGCTCAATTTTGAAAAGCTTCAAATGAAGTATTTTTTGGTCTTTTTGTGTGATAAACGTGATAAACAGCCTTTAAATGTGTTTTTAAAAGCCCAGTAGATCAAGCCACTTGCCAAATGGTCTTTACCTTTAAAAATAAGACCCCAAAATCTCAATACATCTTTTGACCATCTGAGCTGTTTGAAAAATCTTTTTAAAAAACTTGCCAAACAGCATCCTAGGTTTTCTTTTTTATTAAGTGTATGAGTGACCCTGAAAACTGTATGTTGGAATACACTATACATTGTAATATTTTGAACTTTGGGCACAGATAAAATAAATTGATACAACAAAGTTTTGTTGAAGCTCTTCATTAATCCACACTTAAAAATCAGGTTCACCCATTGTTAGCAATTGAACTTCATCTCTTCTTTCTTTTCTTTCATAGGCTTGGCTTTAACGATATTTTCTCCCCACTAGCCATTTGAACTAGGGCTGCCAATGCTTCGAAAGTCTGAAATTTGATCCAATACCCATATGATTAAGATCCGAGTCTATCTATTTATGTAATTATATAAAAATAGATTTAAAATAATAAATTATCTATTTAATATTAAATTATATATAATAAGATCAATATTTTATATTTGTATAAATTTATTATATAAGTAATTCAAAAAGTAATTAACTTTTTAATTTTTTTTTTCTTTTTTTAAGAAATATAAAATGGATCGAATTAAATCTGGATCCAATCCAATTAAATCGGATTTGGATGTGGCTGGATCCATTCTGAATCTGACCTGATTAAAACCATACATTGAATAAAGCCAAGTCTTAGGCAAATATGAACTTGTAAGATCCAAATGCTTGTTTCTTTGTTTTTTATTGAAATATTTGTTTAACTAAAACTATCAAGTAAAACACTAAAGGTCCACAGATATGGATTGGGACGAATCACATAGAATACATGTAGCAGTGGAAACTGATTAATGGAATTACTTTTAGTTTAAAACAAATGGTTGGGCTAGATACTAAGGCTTTTCCAAAGGGATTGAATCAATTAAATTTTAAAATCTTAACTTAATCAAGGAAACATATGAAACTTGTACATTATTATTATTATTATTATTATTATTATTATTATTATTCCTCGAGAGTTGTGGGATATTATTTCAGACCTTTCAAACACCCAGGGAATGCCCACACCAGTTAATGGTTCCCGGCAAAGAGGCCTAGACAAAAATCTGCATGATCACTCTGAAGTTTTTAATACTTGTTGTAATAGATCTTTTCTCCATTGTCCAAATTTATAGTAAAAAACAAAAAGATGATACCATGATTAAAGCTGATTTTTAGACCAATTAATGGTGGGTCTGCGTCCTCTGAATGAGAGACAGCTGCAAAAGGTATAGGGTTTAAGGCCACTTTTAATTATGGGTCTATAGCCAGGCTTTTGCATTGCTGAATAACAGAATTTGGGAATCAATCAATCAATCAAATATATTATTAAAAAAATAGATAAATGAATGTGAAAATCTACATGGTTTGGAAATTTTAATTCTAAAGTTAATTAATACATATTTGGAGGAGATTAATTTAGTTTAAGGAAGTGAGCATAATAATGAAGATAGTGTGAGCAACAACTACTGCCATCAGTGCCATTAGAGGGGCTAGGGAATGGACGTTTTACTGGATAAACACCTATTCACCAAGAATTTCTAAGAAATTAAAGAATATCAAGATCATTAAATAATTTCTAATTAACTCCAGAATAATTTATAAATAACTGGGTGGTTAGTCCGTTCAATTCATGAAAACCATCATTTAATTGGAACCCGAAATGTCTAAAGATTCCCGATTTTCATGGTCTGACCATCTGATCTGATCTGAGTCTTAAAACACTGCTTAAGAACCAATTTCTAGGAATTAAAGTCACTTTGTTAACATAACCTGTTAGCACTTAAAAGAAGGGGAATGATGAACTCTGAAAATTGGTTTGTACTCTAACTTTTTTTTTTGTCATTTTATATTGAAAGAAATGGGGCAATTGGTATATTTGCAATGAGATAACGTTGGACTAGAGCTAGACAGGTGATCCTTGGCGCCAATTTTCTTCCTATGCACACAGAAACCATCTCTTTTGTCATTCAATCGAGTTGAGTCAACTCTTTCATCAAATTTTGAGTAAGAAAATGGGCAATCTATTAGGGCTAAGAGTAGTAACCTTTTTGTTCAATCTAAGCTTAGGAACAGAGAAGAGACTCCCTGAGGGAATGTACAGGTTTCTCAACAATCCTTGGTGTTTGGGATGACGACCTTGAAAGTTGAAATTGGCTGCTTCACCACCTCAAAAGTTTGAGTCTACTGGGAAGCTTCCCTATTGAAGGATGAAGATGCCGTGAAGCAATTTCAGGGTGTACCATGTGCTCACTATTTTGCCCTTTATTTTGTAATGTATTTATGCGGGTTACCGCTGTTTAGATCTCCTGTCCAGGATAACCCTGCCCACGTTTACCCATAACACATTACCCCCCGTGAATTGGGAACATCTCCCCTTGCATAATACTATGCAGAGGATGAGATGTTTTCTATGTGTGGCTGCGATAAATGTGAACAGAATTTGTGTAGGCAGGAGATCCGAACTCACCATATGCTCACTATTTGCACGAAAGAACCCAAACTGACTGAACCGGTTATGTTTGCTCTGGTTCAGTGGTTTGTGTTCTGATTGCAATTGGGTGAGGACTGGTTTTTGCTACTCTGAACCGATTATGTAATTAATAATATATAAAGGTCTCCCGGTTTTTCTTTTAATATTTGTTATATTTTATATTCTAAAGGGTAAATTTCATTCAATATATAAGATCATTTTGAAAAAAAGACTTGTTTTACTTATATGATATCAATACATAAACAATTTACTGTCATTTTTGTTAAGATATTATGATATTACAAATGAAGTTCCAATTTCTTATTATCATAATTAGAGATGTCAAGTTGGATAAAACTTGATTGTCCCAATTAATAATTGGTTCATTTCTGAGTCTATATTATCGATCAAGGACTGGTCCATTCTGTCCTAAGT